TAAAGATTGCTTCCCTAACAGAAAAAATTAGTATCATTGGTCAGAGCTTTCTTGCCAGCTTCACTGTACTGTTCAAACTTACACTCGGCCCTAATAGGCTATTCCTAAGAAGAAAATATAAAACTATCATCATAATTCAATGAAGATTTGAAATGGTGGGCGGAGCATCTCCCCTTCCTTACCGGAAAAAGCTGGAAAGTGTGCCTTCCTTCAGTAAGAATTCAAATCGACGCCTCTGCTACAAGAGTAGGGGTTGTACTAACCCCGAGTACTGGTGAAACGTGGAAAGCAAGTTTTCCTTTACCACAGGAGTTCCTGTCGAAATCTAGCACTCATAGAGGACTCTATGCAGTCACTAAGTCGCTTCTGATTATCAGAAACAAAGCTCTTTGGGAACTAGAGTCAACCTTTGTAGAATGTGTGGGAGACAGTCAAACAGTTTTTATCTGCTAACCAAGTTGAGATCTGTGGATAAGGTTTTCAATCAATTACTCAGGACAATTGTGAAAATTCTTCTTTTATTGGATTGCCAGCTAAACTCAACCTGGTTACCTAGAGAATTCAATGAAGAGGCGGACCTGCTGTCCAAAACAGTGGAATTCTCAGATTGGGGATTGAGCAAGAAAAAAAAGTGGGAATTATTCAAAATCTTTGGAAACCCAGCAGTCGATATCTTCGCATCAGAAGAAATGCATGTCTGTGAAAACTTTGTTTCAGAATTTTTTTCTCCAAATTGTTGTGTTGTAAATGTGTTGTCTACAGACTGGTGAACTCTCCCTGCGCTACTGTATAAATGAGGTTTTCCCCTAACTTGCCTTATCCAGCAAACGATCGCAAAAATGAGAGAATTCGGTGGGGATTACTTACTCGTCACCCCTGTATTCAAAAGAGCTAACTGGTTCTGGACATTGGTCAGACTGCATCCTATTAAACAGGTATTTTTAGCAAAGAAGTACTCAACCTGCGTGGCGTCAAGCAGAGTGTTGAGGCAGACACTAAATCCAAGAAAAACTGGATTGGTTGCAAGCAGAATCTCTTTAGCTCCCTAGCGACAACCATATCCGTAGCGAACGAAAGAAGAAAATGTCGTCCAAGTCCCTTGTCCCAGCATTTTTTCAAGGCTCCACCCTTGCTTAATGCCCTCTCACACTCCTCCAACACGAAAATTGTGACTGCTCTCACCCTCATAGATACTTAACTCTATCAAACAATCTCTTCGTCGACGATTAAACCCGTTCAATGTCAGCATATCTTTTGTCTTTGTATTACGAAAAAGCAGAGCACCATCTCGGAGATTAATAGGAGGACTAAGTTGGCTATAGACTATGCGGATTTTTTCCATGAGTTCCAGGAAAGTAGTTTCATTTTCAGCTTGTTCCCGAAGAACAATCACCCCTTGACGACTTTTTGGAAGAGTCTTAGTATAAGCTGGCTGAACTAGTCGCACTTCCTCATCAATCTCTGTACCCGTCATCCTTAATCCTTCTCCTCCTCGTTGCCAACTTTCCCATAAGTAACTCAGTATGCACTGATCCCGTAGATTTTCGGCATAACGACATCCACTCTGACAGGACATCGTCTTTCGCAACCCTTTGTGAATTAGCTGCATTTTCCTCTCAGTCATGGGAGGAGCCTGAGCTTCGGTCACCCCATTCTTCAAAGTATAGTTCTTGTAAGAACGTCGGCAATCCTTAACCTTTGAGCTATTGCAAGGGTTCTCTCTACCTTCACGACCAAGAATCTGAAAACACCGATTAAGGCAACTGAAGCCAGACTCAACAGTACTACAACTAGGAAAAACACGCCCGTGTTTGTCATAAGTACGACATCGAGTGCTCAGCTCAGGAGGTCACTGACCATGAAAGGAAGCCAAATTATCAATATCATTGCAATCTCCAATACTACGACCAACGCAATTACGGGCAAGCCATTCGCTCAAGGAACGGGGCATCCGCCGTCATTCACGCTCGTTGTTCTTGGAGAGACCATACTCAACAATCAGATTGATGGAATCTTTCAGATCCTGTTCATATTCTCCTTCTATCTGAACTCTTGGACAATGTTGAACAACATCTATGCTTTGATAAAGGAGTCTCTCCAACCACCATCTTTTGTACACAAATGACAAAACATTTTGTAAATGAAGGTGGGGAAGATGGGATGGATTGGAGGTGCATTGGTGGAAGGACCCCCAAATTTCCCAATTTTGTTGAAGGTTCTCATAATGTTCTATGTTTTGACAATCATCACTTCCTTGTCAACTATTTGATCTAACTGCATCAGTTATTTCGCTTTGCCTTGTCAGTTGTGAGTTCATATAGCCCCTTGAAGTTGTGATTGTTTTTTTAGCAGATACCCCCAACAGCTCTACCCCTTGAAGTCTTTCTGACGAAGAAGGCGCACACCAAAACCACATAGAAGGCGTGAATACTAAATAACCATAGGTCCCGCACCTAGTGCTACCACGAGCAGCGATAACTACGGACTGGTGGGCGGGAAGGCAAGCAGGCAATCAATGGCAAACAGCCTGACGAAGTTAAGGATAAGTAGGAACTTACCCATGATTCACAGCAACTGCAGACTGGGCGCCACCCTCGAGGCTTGAAGCAGGGCCAGCAGGGGCAATGCAAACGGCCGATGACCGGTACTCTGGATTTAAAGTACCCGCAAACCCCACCGGAAAAAAGGCCTCCAAAGGAGGCCTGGACACTAGGCCGATAAGAACAGGAATTAGAGGAGGGGGCATGAAAAGATAGATGAAAAGCGCATTGACTCTTGAAGGACTTGTGTTGATTCGCTGGTAAGGCTGGAAATGACGCGGTGAAAATGAAGCAGGTATTTTAACCGGCCCGACAGTTTCTCCCTGCGCTTTTTCCCGTAGCGAATTTTCAACTCCGAGATTGTGAACACTTCGATCTTCGTACCTGCAACGGTGCAGAACAGAGTGAGACCTTCTGTTTTCCCTCGCGTTCACCACGCGAAAATTGGGGCCCGCCCCCCCGTGCCCTCGGTGCATTGGTGGAAGGACCCCCAATTTCCCAATTTTGCTGAAGGTTCTCATACTGTTCTATGTTTTGACAATCATCACTTCCTTGTCAGCTATGTGATCTAACTGCATCAGTTATTTCGCTTTGCCTTGTTAGTTGTGAGTTAATCTAGCCCCTTGAAGTTGTGATTGTTTTATGAGAGCAGATACCCCCAGCAGCTCTACCCCTTGAAGTCTTTCTGACTAAGAAGACGCACACCGAAACCACATTGAAAAGTTAAAATTTTTTGTCTACCTGATGTCGACTCGTGAAGCCCTGCACTCTCCAGAACGTTGTTTTGTGGAGAGGTCCGAGGACCACTCTCCACAAACCACCGTGCACAGGCAGGGAAACCGAATTCACTCTCCACAGCTTGTGTCGACGGCGTGGCGAGCCAACCATTTGCGCCCCATTTTCAAAAAATTGTATGGGACCGACCGAACAGTGACTCGCGGGTCGCCTGTGCAGTCCTACTGCGACACGCTGCTGGGACAGCTTCCGCTGTTCCCAACTGGACCGCAGATGCCGTGTCACCCACTTCGGAGGCCAGGCCATACGACGGTCCACAGGAACGTCCGTCTAATCCGCTCCAGTACTTGGGAAAGACCCGCGGGGTCTGCCTGTGTAGGGTCCCAGTTTGTTTTTCCGCTCTGCACGACTTTCTTGTTTTTTCTCTTTTTACGTATTGTGGGATCAACGGGTTAGGGCTCCCTAGCGGGATGCATCATCCCACCGTATTCCTACTTAGGGCTCCCTAGCGGGATGCATCATCCCACCGTATTTCTAACAGTTCCACACTCTCACACAGTGATAGAAAACTATACTCTTCGATGGCATGTGGGCCGAGGCCCTGGGTAACAAGCGTAGCAGAAAGGGCACGTCCACGGCAGCACAGCAGCCTCACAGGGCCTAGTTGCACTTACTCGCCACTAGATTTCTTCAACAAAAAAGTTAAAATTTTTTGTCTACCTGATGTCGACTCGTGAAACCCTACACTCTCCAGAACGTTGTTTTGTGAAGAGGTCCGAGGACCACTCTCTTGTTTTGTGAAGAGGTCCGAGGACCACTCTCCACAAACCGCCGTGCACAGGCAGGGAAACGGAATTCACTCTCCACAGCTTGTGTCGACAGTGTGGCGAGCCGTCTGACACATTTTGCATTCGCCAAGTTTGGCGAGTAAGGGCCTCGCCACACCACTATCGAATTCCGTTTTTTTTTCGACAAGTGTCAGAAATTTTCGATAGTCCGGAATTCGATAAAAGCCCCCCTTTCGCCAAACAGCACTGTCGAATCTCTGGCCTGTCGAATGCTCTCCATTCCAGGTCCACTTTGGATAGTGCTGTGTGGCGACGGCGCCTCTCCTGATGAACCGTTTGCCGAATTGCATCTGGCGGGTTTCCGGACCACGATTCGGTACTCGACCATGGAAAAGAAAAAAACAAAAACTGACGCTCGTCAGTGTGAGGGTTGTGGCGGCTAGTGTGTCCGTGAGCGGTTTTTGGATGGTGCGGAAAGGAGGCTATCGAAAAAAGGCCATTGCAGGCGGGCGTTTGATAGGCCTATCGAATCCCAATTTCTGACACCTATCGAAGAATGAAGCCTCATTTGTCGACAGGATGTGTGGCGATGCAAAACTATCGAAAAAATGTAATTCGATAGTGGTGTGGCGAGGCCCTAAGTGCAACCAGGGGCCTACTCGCCAAACTTGGCCTATGGCGAGTAGTGCAACTAGGCCCACAGGCGCGGCTGAACCGTCGCGCCTCTACAGCCTCCAGCCACCCACATTTTTGGCTCTTTCGCATTTTGTTCCCCCTTGCCCCCCTCACTTCCGGCACCCCCGCCTTTCTTGGCTCCCGCACATTTCGTTTATGCCCGCTCTTTTGGCGCCTGCCCACGAGTGCCGTTTCTGCTTTCCGTCCTCCGGCGACCGACTACCGAAGTGCGGAATTCCGAAGAAGCGCGGGCTATTTGTCGGCATGTCGCCGTGCCGTGTCGTGACCTTCATATATTCGTCCAAAGCGCGGGCTATTTGTTGGCTATTTGTCGGCACGTCGCGTGCCGTGTCGTGACCTTTTTTCGGAGTATTTTACTGCCAATATCGCCGTCTTATTTTGTCATGTCAATTTATTGATTGATCAAATCGAATAGAAAAGTATCAAATCCATTGATCGGCTGAGTATCTGATACTGGTTGATTGTTTGGTCGGGCGCTACGTTGGAGTTGAGCGAAGGGAACAGGGACGGGAGTAGAAGATGCAGGCTACCAAGATGATCGCGCCCCCGCATAACTTCGGCTGTGAGAGTACATCGAAATACCATGCGCGGCAAGCGGATATGAGAGGGCTGGCGAGGGTGGGGGTGGAGTCCGTGAGGGCTGCCGATAGTCTTGTGACACGTGGCGTGGACGCTGCCACCGCCTTTTGCAAGGTACGACTGTCCACCTGTACTCTTTCTGTGTCCATTCTAAATTTACGTTCTTCCCGCTTCAGTTCATGCCTAAACACTGCCATTTAGTTATTTTGTTGTTAACCATTTCTCGATTTATGCGTGTTATGTTCCGAAGGTGAAACACAGTCGTCTGGAGTCCTGTCGTCCTCTTGTTGTTCTTTTTTGCAGCGTCTGTTTTTCTCCTTTCTGGAAGGACCTCAGGGTGCTGGAGTCGAGGCCCAGCTTGCGGCCACATGGAATTCCCCTGGTTTCAGGTCTCTCGTAACCTTGTCCCTAGAGTCGATTTCCTTCTTCAACGTGTGTCCTGGTGTGTGATCGAAGGGAGGTGCGCCTGTGCGGGGTATGGTACGCCCATATAACTCTTGATAAACAGGCCTGAGCTCAATTCCCGGTGGAGTAGAATAACTCTGAATTACCTGGGGCCGGTCGGCTCGATGGTGCCTCAAGGCCGTCGTCCTTCTACAAAAAAAAATACCGATGGGTAATACAGAAAGAAAAGGAAAATGGAGAGGGATAGGAGGAGGATATGTTTGTCGCTCGGTCGGAGGATGTAGGCGACTGCGAAAGGGTAGGGAGAACAGGCGTAAGTGGAGAGGGAATTGACTGACATCTCTCTTACCTGGCTTCTTCGCTCTTCCTCTCCCTCCCTCTTTCTCTCGCCCCCTCTTCCCTCCCTTTCTTCCTCCACCTCCCATTCTCTCTGCCATTCTTTGTTTTCTTGTTATCGTGCTCCCGAGTACGTAGATACTCCCATCTACGGTAGTCTGTTCCTTCTGCTGCTTCATTTCTCTCTCTCCCCTAGTCTTCTTCTCAAGTCCTCTTCCTCTCTCTCCTTTCGTCTTTTCTCTCTATCCCCGTGTCTCTCTCCCCCTCTGTTTCTCCCTCTTCCTTGCTTTCCCTCTATCCCCCGCTTTCCCTGCGTCTCTCCCCCTCTTCCCCCATGTTTTCCTTTTTTCTTTCCCATGTGTCTCTCACGGCCTCCCTCCCTCCTGTTCTTTCTCTCTCCCTCTCTCCCTCTCCTTCCTTCTTCCCTTGCTATCCATGTCTTCGTTTCTCTTCCTTTTCTACCCCTTCTTTCTCCCCTTGTCTCTCCTTCTCTCTCTCTCTCCCCTCTCTCTTTCTCCCTCCTCTCTTCCTCACATCCGCTCTCACCTTCGTCACTTTCTTCTCTCCTCCTCCCCGTGTCTTTTTCTGTCATGTTGACGTCATTCCTCAAATGTTCTGCCGTATTTTGTTTGTCTGCTCTCCCTCTTCTCTCTTCGCAAGTTGAATTCTCTCAAAAACTTTCTCTCTCTCTCTCTCTCTCTCTCTCTCTCTCTCTCTCTCTCTCTCTCTCCAGGGTCTCGGCAAATCTGAGCGGTATGGTCTGCATAGCTAAATCAGTTGAATGCACCTTTTATAGACTGTTAGGAGGTTCGACGTAATTTGTTTGTCTGCTCTCCCTCTTATCGCTTCGCAAGTTGAATTCTCTGGTAATGCTTCGTAGGCGTTGCGGTAGAGGAGGGGGAATGTGGATGGGGAAGGGAAAGTGTTGATCATCTTCGGCGTAGAAAGATCATGGCAGACATGTAGACAAGGGCGGGGAGAGAGAGAGAGAGAGAGAGAGAGAGAGAGAGAGAGAGAGAGAGAGAGAGAGAGAGAGAGAGAGAGAGAGAGAGAACATGCAAATGCACATAATGAACCATAAAAAAACAGGCAAACAGAAACAAGGTACATGGTAGTCGAAGCCCTCTTTTCTGTGGAAGCGAGGCTGTAAAACATGTTCTTTCGCAACGATGAAG